AATATTTTATTCTCTTGATGCTCGTGGGTGTTAGAAGACGTGATCCTAAATAGTGAAAAGTTTTACAATTTTTTGCTTGTTCCTTTTTTTGGTAATCAGAATATGAAAAAGAATAGAATAAAATTATCCTTGGTTTATAGTCGCTGGTATATCAACTTGTGATCGTATTGCAATTTATATTAATTGTATCGTCTCAACTTAGATTATACTTGCAGTACTGTTTTTTTAAATTTAACCTCATATTTTCATAGTCACGTTAAAATAAAAAAAAAATTAAACCGGCTGAATCTCTGATTTTTAACTCGTAGAATATTGGAATTTTGTTAACAATTACTCGAAACAGAAATAACCACGGGTACGAATACGTAATAATTTTAGTTCGACAGAATTTCTGTTATTAATTCGCAAAAATCGCGTGGGAGAATTCCTCTTCGGCTTCGCTCGTCGATGAAAAATGAAATAAAAAATAATGAATTTCCATGATCCCACGTTGTTTACGATGAAACTGTAATTGTTGCATAGTCATCGTAGTTTGAAATATTTCTGTATATTCCCCGGCTCGCCACGTTACCAACAGTTCGCATTTTACGGTCTTTATTATTGCGTCTGTGTGTGTCTAATATAAATGTACAACTCGTCATACATATATGATTCTGCTTACGTGACTAAATAATATAATATAGTATAATATAATATATTATAATATAATATAATTTAATATAATATAGTATAATATATATGTATATATATATTTTTTTTTATTTCGCTCGGTCCTCTCGGCTTAAATAATCGTCAATTAATCCTAAAATTATTTAATGCGTGTCTTAACTGTTTTTTTTTTCTCGTTTTCTTATTTTCGGTGCGATCCTGCCATGATACAATACAATTTATATATAACGTCATTTATATATATATATATATATATCTCTTTTCTTGTTTCAACTGCACTCTTTCTCTCTCACACGTTCACACACTCATGCATTCTCTCTCTTTCTCTCTCTCTCTTTTTCACTGTCAGATCCACAAAACGATCCCGTCCCCGAAAATTGTGATTCCTGTAATTTAATCGTTCCATATTAATTATGATTTTAGTTCAATCAAATCCAGATATATTGCCCTGCTACATCGCCATATTAAATTTATTTTCTGAACCCTCTATTGCACGAATTTTAAACAATTAATGTCAGAATTTATAGGACCATTTTACGTCCATCGAAAACATACATAGAAATATTGTAAAATTCAACGAAGGGTCAGAAATTTTCTTTTCCTAAAGTCTTACGTAAATTAACGAAAAGCTGTCATTGTTTGACATTTTTTAATCGAAGTTTTCTTTTCTTCAAAGTCTTGTTACATAAATTAATAGTAATGACCGTTATTCCAATTATTTGGAAATTGTAACACAATCTTGTGCACCGTGTATTTTCGTATTTTGTGTTACGCGGCTCCTTGTCGAAATTCTGCCCGATTTTTCCTTTCGGTATTTCCCTTCCCCCGTCGCCCAGTCAGTATTGCTCAGCGTCATTCACTCGAGCCATTCATTCGCTTTCATTCAGCCGAAGTGCAGTCGCCCACTCGTTCTCGCGTCAGCATTCACTCTCTCTCTCTCTCTTTCTCTTTTTTTTCCGTTCTAACGAGTGTTAAGGGTAACGAGTTTACGAAGAATCGGAGAGCCGAGCCCGGTAAAATATGTCTCGATCGCGATCGAGGACAGCCCCGTGGATCCCCGGCGTCGATCGAGGCGACGAATTGAAAAATTTTTACGTTCACCATGCTTCCTCGCAGCGGGGAAAATTTCGAATCGTGTAACAGCGAAAGTAAGAAACCTTGGACGAGATCCGGTGCTCGATCATTCGCGGCCCAGCGTTTCCCAAACACCTCGTAATTCGTAATTAACTGTTCGACATCCTGTTTTGGGGCGTGCGTCGATTTTAATCCAATTAATCCCTGAATAATTACAGTTTGATGGTTGCGTTATTCCGACGGATAATCGATTAATTACACGAAGACAAGAAAAGTTAAAAAACAATTTAGATGGATCACGAAATCTATAATTCTCGTCTCGAACTATATTTAAATTACTCAATCACGTAGTATTTTCAAAAATCAAAAGATGTTCCAAATATTTCGAATGGTAACAAATCTAGAAAAATATAAAAAGTTTTAACATAGTTGGAGTTTGGGGAAACGATGATCTACGAAGTGATCGATGGGTTCTCTCGAAAGCGAAGCCGCGCAGGCACATGCAGAGAAATTGCTTAACGAAAGCTCGCGTCTATTTTGCGAATAATTCATATTATATATGTAGCATATATATATATACATATATCTGTCTCACTCTTGCTCTCCGTCGCTTCCATAGTTTGTCTCGCTGGTGGAGGACGCTGTTCGAGATCCGGTGCGGGAATAAAGAAAAGGCATTATCGTTTAGACTTTGAACCTTTAATACCTATCGAAATAGTGCTCGAAGCGAATGTAAAACGTACGCTGATTAAAACGACGGCTAGTCTCTCCCTTATTCGGCGCGCATAAATTTTCGGTTTTGTCGCCCGTCGTCGGGACGAACGATGATTCGTGTCAGCTCGCGGCCGGAAGCTTAATAGGAGGTTGGAACGATGTCGGATTCATTATCGAGCGTGTGTGTCTCTCGTTAATATAATAAAACCTTACGTGCTAAGGAAATCGCCTAGAATTATCTTGTGGAGCGTTCGTAACTCGTTTAAGGTATCGTCCAAAAAAAGTATTTCGGTGTCGACGCCAATGATCCTCTGATTTTTCATTCATGTGTGTACGTGTGTGTGTGTGTGTGTAGGGGGATGTATATATTTTTTTTTACATAGTTTCGACGCGGAACGATTCGAGGCAGAAGCAACTCTGAGGCGCCGATCCAACTTCCTAATGTTTCTTCTTTGTTTCGTCGATATTTTAACTTTGTTTTATTTTTCCGATTCGTGACGGCGATCGAGGATCGATGTTCGAGCCACGGTCGTCGAAGATCGATGTAGGTGGGACTGAAGTCGAGTCCACGCGTCCCTGTTTCTCACTTTGCGTTATAAAAATACATGGATAAAGTGTAAGCTTGACGAACCGATCTGGAATAACCGCGACCGGAACCATGAAGGTTCGAACAGATACGAGTCTTTTGTCGTCGAAAGCGCCTGGTTGATCGTTGCAATAAATAAATTTTTAGCACGGCGTGAAAAATCGAACGGATCGTCTGTTATTCTGACGTTTAGCGTGCCGCGACGACTTATTACTATTCGATTCAGCTGGGGCAGATAGCAATGATGATTTAGTATCGTTGTTTCGCGGTGTGTTTCGTTCTATCGTGAACGTTTGCGTCTGCTGGAGAGTCGTTACGCGTTAGAGAAAGCGTGGCGGGATTTTCATTGCAGGTTTCGTCACGTGACGAAATTTTCCATTTCAATGTGCTATTCGAAAATTTGGGAAATGGACCCCCATCATAGAATATTTTCTTAATTTCTCAGAGAAACGTGTTTTTCAGTGATGAGTAGACATCTCAGAATGTATTTCCAGCGCAGATGTATCGTCACGTGACGGAATTTCACCTACATCTACCGTCACCGTCTCGTCACTGAATATTCTCGTCAAAAATCAAGGAAATTGTCTTTCGATGGACTTTCACCACCGAATATTTTATCAATGAAATTTTTCATACATGACGGTGCATGACGCGACGATGATGGCGAAGTGATGATGATTCAGTGGTAACCAGGTGCCTCAGAATGGAGTTTCCATTGCATTCAGTGCTACATATCTGAACTTCTTAGATGTATCGTCACATGACGGACTGTACCCAGAAGTGTCGTCAACGTCTCCTCACAATTGTCCTTCGTTAGACCCTCATCACTGAATACTTTCTCAGTTTCTTAGTGAAACGTGTTTTTCCACGCATGACGGTGCAGTACGCGACGATGACAGCGAAATGACGATGATTCGGAGTTGACCAGGCGCGTCGCGACGAGAACCCGACCGGAAATCTGAGGTTTGGCGGTTCGGAGAACGCGTACGTCTGCCTCGAAGCGTTCCTCCAATAATAACAACGACGTTTAATTAGTTGACGTCCGAGACGGGAAACAGATTAAGTTTATTATTACCGCTAGACTCGCGCTAACTTTAGATAAATCATCTTCGCCTAATCTCAAGAACAGGTATATAATCGCTAGAACTCTGTCGCTACCTTCTTCCCGGTGAACAGGTAGATTATTATCCCCTACTTGTGATCGTTTTGGCTTACGGGCTAGAATGAATTGTTTTCTCGCTACTCTTTAGGAATCTCGCGAATCGATCGATCGATCGACCGGATCGGTTCGGATGCTGGCCAGCCTGAGAAGGGAACGCGCGCCCGTTTCGCTCCGTGGTCGAAAAATCATCGACCAACCCGAAAACTCTTCGAAACGTCGTCTCGAAGCTGAAAAAGCAAACGAATCACGACTAATGCAAGGAAAACAACACGAAGCTACGATCTTTACGCTCCTACGACGATCCTCCTCCGGTGATAATTGACTCCGCGTATAATTTTCTACCCAGTCGCGATAATTGACTGAAAACTGTGCTCGAAACGAATTACAACGCTAACCGATCTCCGGCGACGTAAGAAAAATATTCAATCGATTCGATAACGAGTTCTGCTGATATTTCGAAAGCTGCGCGCAGTCCCCTCAAGCCAACCGCGTAGCTCGCGTCTCTCATACACACTCTTTCTCTCTCTCGTATCTTTCTCTCTGTGTATCTCAGTTACGAGTATAAGGCTACTTCAAGCGGTTACAATATGTAATAATCGACAACTCTCCCACACGTTCGCCGCCTATTCGTCGTTACACCGCTACTTGTATGTATATCGTGGTGATGCTCTTTTTTTTCCCAGTAGTTACAATAGTAATGGTAATAGTAATAGTAATAGTAGTAGTAATAATAATAGTAGTAATAGTAGTAATAGTAGCAATATAGTAATAATAATAACGTTATTATTATTATTATCCTCGCTGTTCCTCTTTTTTTTCTTTTATAACTGTTATCTGTATGTGGGTTACATATCCGCGCGGTTCCTTTGTTCGCACTCCGTTTTCTGTTTCCGTTTCTGACTGTTTTTTTTTTGTTCTCGATACCGTTCTATTATGTTTTTTTTTTCTAGTTTTCCTTTCTCCGGTTTTTTCTACCCCTCGTTCTAAACGATCCTCCATCTTCCTGCCCCATTACCGTCGAACGAATTCTTACAATCTAAAAAAGACGTCGATGCACGACCACGAACGAGGCATCGGGAACCCGTCCTGCGCGTTCGCCACGCCTGTTATCGCGATTCGTTTGTAACGATTGTGGTCCGATTGTTTCCACGTCGGCGTTCTTGCTCCCCGGGACCCTGAATCGACGACGGTTGTCGTCGTCGCTCTGTTCGACTGTAGACGTCGACTTCGACTTCGATCTACGCGCGCTCGGTTTCCCGTTAAAAGCGCGACGGCTGCTCGGATTGGTCGACTCGGATTTTGACAACCGATCGGAACACGCTGAATAGACGCGATATTGGAACGTAGGTCGCGGATGTGGAGTCACGGGGTGAGTGTCAACTTTTCTTTGGAACAATGCGGCTGAAACGATCGAAATAAAAACAGAACGTCTCGTAGAAATTGTAACTTGGAGATCCATACTGAAATCAACGTTTCCGTTTAGCACTGGGACTGATACTATTATTCGAAATTATGTGATAAATATTATTAATAATTTAGGGTTGGATCTCAGTTCTGTGCAAATATGTCTTTCAAATTTGAAATTTAACTGGTAATTTTTTGTCGAAGCATGGTAAATTATAAAATATATCCCGTAGTCCTCATTAGTGATACATGAATATAAAATACTCATTCTCGTAGGGAAAAAATATTACACATATAGGTCTGTTTCTTCCTATTTTTGTTTTTCAAATCAATATAAATAATTTTTGGAAATAGTTTGCTATAACTTTGTTAAAACCAATTATGATGCATTAATAAACTGACAAATCAGGACTCTATACAAAGCATCAGTCCCATCGTTACAGGCAACGCGATTATTTTTTCTACGAAGAGCGAATAATGATTCCTAGTCGAAGGACACGAAACGCAATAAAGGCGAAAACGCGAAGAAACGAACGTTTCGCTTGGAAAACGTTTCAAAGGCGAAGAACGTTCGAAGCAGGACGTAACTCATAAACGCTGGTGAATTTTATTCGTCTGGCACGTGACTCGAGAACGTATCCATCCATCGAGCTATCCTCTTCTTCTCGTTTGTACGGCGTTGTATCGGAACCACGTCGAGAAACATCGAAAGGGAGGGGATCGCGGAGAGTTCTCAAATAAATTGAATTCGAGAACCGAGAGTCATCGTCGAGTGGATGGCCGACCGACAGAAACTCGAAGAGAGCTCCTGTCGAATATGGCCGACCCGGGGTTGACGGAAAGGGTCCCGTGAGAAATTATTCGCTCGATAACCGACACGGATATTAACCCTTTTACGCTCAACCGAACGATATTTCGACCAGCTGCGATGCTGGCTAGAAAACTCTCGCGGCCGATCTATCATGGTCGACTACTTCCGATGTCCCAACTCTCGCGTGAATTTTCCTCCATTTTTGTCGAAGAAGAAACCATTCCTTTATTTAGAATTTACTTTGTTACTTACGCGTCTGGAAACAAACTGCTAATCGAACAATTGGGGGTCGATGAAAATTGCAAATAAAGTTCCTTCGTCCTTGAGACTCTGGAACGATTTTTCGCACTCCAGTCGAATAAAATTCTCCACCAGCCACGATGAATAAGAAAGATGCAAAGCAACAACAAAATTAGAAGACCAGAAAGTAAAACAAACCTTCAAGAACAGCTTACATTATTCCTTCGGCGCCAAAACAGTAGACAATCGAGAGAAACGATTACCAAAAGTGGCAATAACAAGCTGGCAAAGAAATTCGCCATTGTTTGCTGCCGAACCACCGAAGATCAAAGATGTCTGGGAATGTTCTCGTAAAGACGAGGCTTATTCTCGGAAGAGTTGGCACTCGATTGGGGTCAGGTCTTGGTCCAGGATGCTCGAAGACGTCGGGAGTAAGAATTGAAAAAAAAAAGGAAGACGAAAGATAAGGGTTGGAAATCACGAGGCGCGGCTCGTACGAAGAATGAAAAGTTTCCGTTTGGCGAAGTTCGAGCTGGTCCGTTTCGGGAACGCGGATGAAAGTCGACCAACCGGATCGAACGCGCTTAGGGGGATGACGATTTATTTAGAGAATCCCGCGTATGTTCAGCGATCGACGAGCGACAGCTATCGACATGTCAGCGTCCAGTCAGCAAGACGGCCAGGGCGATCAGGCTCGAACGTCGTCAGCGTGCGTCGCAACGTTCTCCGACCTTGTTCAAGCGTTAGATGGATCCCGGTGCTTCCGTTCGCGGGTTCTTCGTCGTTTCTAGCGACGTATTAGCCACGAAGGGTCCGTCCGACGATGAGGACCGTCATCGAGGCAGCCAGGATCACCGCTACGCTGCTGGCCGACAACGATGGTCCTGAGTTGCAACCCTCCTGCTGGCAGCAATACGTCCTCGTGCTCCAGGCCTCTGGAACAGACAACGGAACCACCGTTATTGCTGGTCGTTCGCTGAAATGACCAGCGATATCTGTGCTTTCTTTCGTCGCGATAGAACGCGTTCAGAGTCCGTCGAATCTATCGCGATACATTGTTACAGACTCGCTGGAAATTCCTAGTGATCTGCTCCAAATTTAAAGTGACCCACTAGTAGTTCTAAGTGACCCACGTGAAACATAAAAGGACCCACATCGAGTATCGAGTGACCCATGATAAGCATTTGATGACCCACGGTAAATTTAAAAACTCGCAAAATTATCCAGAACATATCATCCAGAATCTTCATTTTTTAATACAAATAAAAGTGTATCGTGTTCGAACGATAATTTCCCTTTTTACACTCGAAAAGATAAGTTACTCGAGTCAATTGGTGAGTCAACAATGAAGACGATAAACTCGTCCAAACTGCAATTGAATTGCGTATGAGTGAAATAATTTTGATAGAATTTCAAGCAGAGATTTACGGTGCACGTTTATTATAAATACGGAACGTCAACGACCCAGCGAGGGATTGTTTTTAAAAGTTGCCCAGCGGAGTGTCACAGTGATTATTTTTCAAAGCATTAAACGCGACGCGTTGGAAGTCGGAAGTTGCTCGATCCGAATGGATTTCTAGGGTAGAGAAAAATCGTAGTGACGTTTGGCCCCCTTTTCTCCCCAAGCCTACGAACGGCATAACTGAAGTTGTTTCATTTATACGCGGTATAAAAGGCTACGTTGCGATAAAAGACACACACGTCAGGGCTTTATCGAATATGGAATATCAAAAGCGCCTTTGGGCTCCTTCGGAGAGTGAATAACTCGCCTTTTAAATGAAACTAAAAAGCGCGAGAAAGAGGTTCACGAGTGAAAAGGAGCACGCGTGGCCAGGAAATAAGCCAATTCAGTTACAAATGTAAAAAGCACGATACGCTTCTTTTTCTCTCTCTCTCTTTCATTTTTTTTCTGCGAAACGGGAAACGGGAGAAGAAAATGCGAAACTTCTTAATGTCGAACAGCGAGAAGTTATTAAAATAGAGGACACAAGAAACCTCATTAAAAGGGAAATACAATAGAACGGTTCGTAACAAAAGGTTTTGCTTAATCGTGCAGAGAAAATGAAAAACCGGCGGGGATCGCTCGGGGAAGCCTTGAACGTTAAAAGTCCGTCATAAAATTCTTGTTTCGCTTCGAAACCCTTTGAAAACCTTCTCGACCCCTTCGAACACGGCAAAGAAAGTCGCGAGATATAAATTGAAGATATCGTTAAAAATGTTTAATCTGTGTAATTTCGATCGCTCCTGTTAATGGTTTATTCCTGGCAATTTTATTCGCATGGCTGGTTCCACATGTTACGTTTCCTTGCAATTGTATACTCTTCTATTATAACGAACACAGTCATTAAGTAAGAATAACGAAAGAATTTCAAGCATGGTTTGGTGCTCCATTATTTCAATTTTCTGTTAACGCAACGTGAATAATTTTCATTCTGATACACCGAACAAAACCTTTTCAAATAATTCTTAGCAACTTATTTTTATTCAACGAACAAAATCATGGTATGATACTGTGAGAATGGTATCAGATTATTTCGTAAGTAGAATTCGGTAGATCGAGTAATATTTTTAAACAGGGAAGCGTCCTCCTTGAAAAATGACGCTCCCCGAATTCGCCCTTTTTTTCACCCAGAAACGTTATCTTGTTTTCGACGGGACACGCGGTGGTGCAATAATCTCGTCGAAAGATCGATCTTCTCCTCGTTAAGGATGAAAAATCTGGTCTCGTTTATAAACCCTCGAAACGACTGCAAGAAAACACGGGAATCACGATGCTACGATGGGAGGGGGACGCGAGGGGGATGAAAAACGATCGCGCGGAAAACAAGGAAGCAGGAAATCGACTTAATATTTCGGATAACCGGCCGGAGATTTCCTGTTTACTCGCTGAACGTTACGAGCTTCTTTCGCTCTAATGGAAATCGCCGGCAACGTCCAACGAAACGAAAACAATAAAAATAAATACGAAGAAACGAAAACTAAAAATATTATAGTTTACACTCTGAATCTACGTGGACATTTATCCATGTAAATTTCGTTAGTTTATTTTCTTTCCTACATTAAATTTTTCTCGCATACTTTTCTCATAAAATTAAATTTTAAATAATAATAGAATTATTCTTTTCAAAATAATGAACACAATAGAGTAAATAAATAAAAATCGGTATCCAAAGAGATGGATGCCAAAGAAGATCGACGGGGGGATAAACGTCGAAAACGCGTGGGCGTGAAAGACACGGGAATCGAAAGAATCCGCGACTGAGATTCATCGGGACGTGAAAATCTGGGTGAATAGAGGAGACGGAGAATGGAAAAAGATTACGAGGCAGGAAACTTCCGCGGGGGAAAGTAAAAGTTAGGAGAACGAAGCGTTGTAAATCGGCGGGGAACCGGGATTCAGGGAAAAGTTGAACGCATTGACTGGCAACATGTGCGCTCCATTACACGCCGAGAGGATTACAAAAGTTTCGGACGGATTTTCAGTTCGAAAACAGGACGAAGGACTCCCCGAATCCCCGCTTAATCGCATTACGCACGCCCGGCGTCGCGACAACGACGGTTCCGCGTCAGGATCTTTTTTTTCCTCGGACGTTTTGCATGAATCTTTCCCGTTCGAGATGTCTACGAGTCCTTTAGCTTCTTCCTCCGAAGGATTATCGTCGGTTATCCGGCCTGGCCGGAACAGCTTTAACGACACTCGACTTTAATGGGGGGGAAATTACGGTCCGGAGGACATTGGTTGATGAATTTTCCGGTCGTTCGACCGGGAAGGAACAGTTTCTTTAATTGACGCTATTTCCAGTCAAGAAACGATACTTCGTAGCTGCTACACTCCTCAGGATCGGAGCCAAAGATATAGAAATTATTATAGGATTAATTTTAAAGCAAAGAAAGCGCCAGATTTATTCTATGCGAGATACAGGTGCTTTTGGGGGAATTGTAAATATACGAAGAAATGTGTAACTATTTGAATTTTTGAAAAATATATTCAGATCTCAGATCTTCAGATGTTAAAGTAATTCGATAGAATAATATTCCAAATTTTATTTCTTCGACTGTGTTTCCATTCGATTGTAGAATTAAATTTACGTAACGTTCCAAAGGACCACAGTTTAACCCATTAAAATGAGCTTGATGGGAATATTCCGGTTTCGAAATAGTTCCTTACGAAGTCACGATCTAAGTGAATTCCTCCCCATTAAATTTGCCTAAAATTCCAAGAAACAGTAACCAGAGTTTTACATATTTCGCGGGTTCGTGAAACGGGCAAAGGTACGGGGACGAGTACTTGTTTTTAGCCGGGGTAATTCATATTTAATGGACGAAACTACCCTCCAAAACTTTCGAACCCCCATCTTGAAAACCATTATGGGCACAAAGGAGTTTTTTTCGGTCGAGCATTTAACGGCTATTTACGGAAGGTAATAAACAGCGAGTGAAAATTTCGACCAGAGACCCCCTCTTATTTCCAAACTAGCCCAGCAGTTTTGTCCAAGAGTCAACCGCGAAGGATTTTGCTGTTGGATCGATCCCGCGACCCAGATTCTACTCGTCTGGCCAGAAACTGTAATTCTACTCGTTCAATCTCTGCACCACTAAATCTACGGTAACGATTCTCAAAATGAACACAATGGAAACGTTCAATTTACAAAACACGGCTCGTTTTAACCATTACCAATTTCCAATAATTTTATCTCCGCTGCCTCGAGGTAAACCATTCTCTACTCTTTCGTAACTGGACTTTATTTACAGTTACATTTACTTAATAAAAATATATTATCAACCCGGACTCCTCTCTCATAACTGTACTTTATTTATAGTTACATTTACTTAATAAAAGTATATTATCAATTTTTATCAGTTGGTCGTTGGTCTACGTACCTGGACGAGTAAAATGAGTACAATAATGATTCCTAAATTGAACATGTCTATCGTGTTCAATTTACGAATCACTGTTCATTTTAGGAATCATTACTCGTGGCAGCGACCGACGGCTCATTTAACTCGTCCAGGCACGTAGATCAATGAGTAACTAATGAAACTTGACAATATATTTTTATTAAGTAAATACAACTATAAATAAACTACAGCTACGAAAGAAGTTGAAAGGAGTGATTTTTCTCGACAAAAAATTCTTGGGAATTGGAGGAGGGAGAGATTCTGGGGAAGTTGATACGGTTGGGCGGTGGGGTCAAAGGTCCGAGGCGAAAAATTACGGAGTCGTTTCGTTCCCAGCGAACAGCGGCTGCTCCAATTTCTACGCGATGTGGATAGTCAGAGGAGCAATTCCAACGCGGTTCGTGCGGTAAACCGCGCGTGCAGCTCGGATTTCAAAGCGTGCGCGGGCGTATCGTCGTCTTTGACGAAAGAGGTCTTCGATTCCGGCTGGAATCCGGCGTGCATTGCCTTCTTTCGCCCAGTCGCGTCGACCTTACCCGCCTCGCGAAAGAAACTCCAAGGATTTCGCCTCTGTGCGGTTTTTTCTGCGCCATTGCCTCAAAGCGGATCTTTGAGGGAGTCGTCGAAAGCTCGGAAACGAGTCCGCGCTTCTTCGACTTAGCCTCGAATATTATCCCCTGTTTCCATAAACGGGGGATCCGCCAGGGGAAAATACGAAATAAAATTTTGTCTCGAGAAGCGACTTTCTTGGATTTCGAGGAAATTTAATTACTTTTTTCCAGTCGTATCGGGGATACAAAAGTCTTTCGGGAAATGAAAAGTATCCAAAAAGGAATTGTTAATGTTACTCTGTGGAACAAATTTCTTAATCATGAAAAGGGGAGAAGCGAAGGAAAGATTTCGTTCGAGATTACTCGTAAATCTTCTAGATCTTATCAGCGTGGAAACGTCGCGAGAATTGCAACAGGTCTCGAACAGTCTGCTAGGAAGTCCTTTGTGAACCTCCATGCATATTTAACGTTGGTATATATTATATCAATCTCGATATTATGTAAATAGTTTCTATTTACACAAAGTTAGATTTTAATTTGCTCCACCTCCGGTGATTAATTCTACAAAATTATAATTTAAAATGGAGGAACTCACTCTTTTCCACGCACGTTGGCACGCAGTCTCGCACTGTCGACGCCTCGCTGACGTATTTCTGAAACAGCCAAAACATAATATCGAGTTAAGTATCTATCAAACGTGCATACATTCGTTTTGACGAAATTAAAAAATGTTGCTTTTTCAACCCCTCCAGTTTCAAATTATATATTAAGAAATAATAAAGGTTAATAATTTGTCTCTCGTAAAATTGATCCACTTATTTCGTCGCGACTTGTATTTCGACAGAATTCCTCCCCCGATAGAAAATAAAAGCGAACGCTTGGCGCGCGATTCGATAAATCGCCGCGGGCCCCTTGTTTAAACTACCGTCGAACAATTAACCCGCATTCCTGGCCGGCGTGAAATTCGCGAATTTTCGCAGTCGCGATTAACTCCGTCCGACAACTGTTATATTTACGCGGACCGATAAAATCGACGTGTTTCGATTCACGCGAGGCGGAGGGCAATTTTTACGTTTGTACTTTTCATCAGCGACGAGGAGAGGATCTCGTCCGGGAAAAGTGATGCCTTTTAATCTTGTTCTCGCGTTAATCCGCTCTCCGTACTCCGGAGTTTATCAAACAGAAATAATAATAATTAAAAGGACACACTTTTTCGAAACAAACATTTTATACAAATACTTGTATCCACATGCACGGAATTCTGTAAACGTGACATAAAAATTAATTTAGATTTATTTCAAATAGCACAAATCTTCCAAATTGCAAATATATATTTTTAAATATTAACCTTAAAAATAACCTAAATATATTAACCTTAGAAATACCAAAAGGATAAGATACTGTAGAAGAAATTTTTAATTGTAACGATATTTAAATTACTATTACAAAAGGAACAGAAATAACATTTAAATAAACTAATAATTGAGACCTCGTCGTTTGCACAAAACTCGATGGATTCTAACAAGATAAAGGTACCTGATAGTTGTTGAAAGCGCGAAAAATTTACGATAAAAATATATAGGGACTCGTCTAATGAACACTGGAAGGATGTAGCAAATATCGAAAGGGATCGTTCCGCGGAAGTACATTAAAATCGAAGTGGGGACAATCGGTGTCCTTCCGTTGCAAGTGAAACGGTGATTAGAAAGGACGGGGTCATCATTCGGGTCGTCCTGTGTTCTCTGGTTGGACGAATTCGAAGTACCACGAAGCAGACTGCGTCATAGGCGGCCGGTGATCGATACCCGACGATTATAACGCCCCGAGGACGTCGTACATATTAAACCCTCCGCAACTCCTCCGCTGTTCACGTACATATTAAACTCTTCCTGTCCCTCTTCCACCCCTCGCGTCTCGTGCCTCTTCCGTGGATTCGTCAACGATTCCAAGAATATTCCTGTGCATGCTCTCCGGCGAACCCGCTGCTCCATGCAGAATTCGCCCAAATTGTCCGCGGATACGCCATTCGTCCTGTCAGGAGATCCCTGGATGTACATAACGACGGGACCGAGTTTACCGTCTGCAAACACCCATAGAACGACGGGCCACATTTCGTTCCTTGCAATAAAATCTAAGCACTCGGGAACGCAACATCGATGTTTTATTGACTAGTGTCCGTAACAATTTGTTAAACGGTCTGTCAACGCGTATTAAAAGTACACAAATTTCAGACGCGTACAGTTTCGAAGGTATTTAGTTTTATCCGTAATTTAGGCGTCATTAGAAGTGGCAAAGCTTCCCCTTTGAAATGGTTTTTTATTTATATCGATTCGACTTCCCGTTTCGGAGATATCGTAATTCATGTAAAGCAGTAATTTTTAAAATTCCACTGTTCGCGCTCTATCCGTCTTCGAAAGTGCATTAAAAGTATTAAAAACTTTGGAGGCGTGCAGTTCCGAAGGTGCTGGAGTCATATCCATAATTGAGCCACTGTCGAAAGCGGCAAAGCTTCCTCTTTAAAATGGCTTTTGGTTTTTGTCGATCCGACTTCCCGTTTCGGAGATATCGTAATTTATGTGGAAGCCTCTCTCTCGCGCGTACGTCGTGACAATCGTGACCTAGTTACTGCGATCACGTGCGGTCAACGACCTTGTCACGCGACGTAAACAAACGCTTCGAAGCCTTGTATCTCCGGAACTGGCCACCGCATCGACTTGAAACTAAAATCGCCATATCTCCGAAACTAATTACGCTATCGACTTGTACAAACGCTCGTTTTAAAGGGCATTTCATCCTCTAACCAATGACTCTATCAACTATCATTATTCATGCTATCTTCTATGAATATTTTCAAAAGAAACTTTGTTCTGGTATTCCAATTCTAATTTTTGTACATTTGACGTAGAAAATATTACTTGCGTTTTACATATTATGTTAAATTTGAACTCTACGAGATAATATCGATTCAATTGACCAACGGATCATAATATAAAAAGTTCAATAATATTTTTTGATAAATTTTTTAAATAGAATCCTTGGTTTCTTCGAATCGAATGAGCTTCCAGTGGCCGTTTATTCTACAGTGTCTTTCTCTCCTAAAAATTAATTTTAATCGTGATCGTCGATGGCAGCTCCGATTGAAATTCGGCCAAACACTGATTCCAAGTTGGCGTGTTTCCGTTCGAGTTATGGTTGATTCGCAGAAAGCTCGTCGCGTGCGCGGAAAGTGGCCGGGCGCGTCATAATGAGAGAATAATGAAGACAAATGAACGCCACGGGATCGAGGCTTGAAAGGCTTCGCGGCGGAATTAAGCGACGCGCCTCCGGAGTCGATTTCGATGTAAATTCGACTCTCGTCGCTCCATTGTTTCTCTGGTGGAAATCTGGCTAGCCTCGACCGCCATTAAGGAGTCTATCTAGCCGCGATCGATCATCGTCGAACGTTCGATTTCGTTGAAATGGACCAAGCTCTATCGACTTGCTCCGAAAAAGCAACGCTGTTCAAACGAACGCTATTAATTTCCATTAATTCGCGAGACTACAGTTAAAACTTCCAACCAAAAATTTGTGGGCAGTGGAAAAAAGATGGAACCTCAATTTTTACTTCTAAAATTGAAGTAGGAGTGTATTTTTCTCTGTTCAAAATTTAATTTATTTGGAAAATTGTAGAAGAATTATTTTTTTAATCTTCTACAAAATTTTGCTTGGCTCGCTCTGTAGAATGATCAAAGAAGCTCGGATTAGCGACCATAATCCTCCCCTTGTCCGGACCGCCTTAATACCGCCAGAGTTTATACTTTTTACAACAAACCAGTATGAATATACATTTAATGTATACGTAAACACCGGGGACGAGAGTGCCACGGAATTAAGTATCGCGTGGCGAGAATCACGAACCGCTGAGAGTCCAATATAAATTCAAATTTCACCACCCATTGTTCTCCTTTTCGCTAAGGCGACGGATTCCCGTCGTGTCCCGTTTCAATTCGACGTCCCATCCATAGAATTGATTTTTCTGTTCGGAATTGATCCCTGCTTCTCCATCGTTTTCCTCCCATTCATGTTCCGGTCGTCGATCACTGAGGGTAAGGCCATAGATGAGGTGTACGAGCAGAACTTACATCCAATGTATTTTTTCGGCCCATTTTTCTGGGGCTCTTACCTTGAGATACACTCCTCCAAAATGTTATAAAAGGATCGTGCATTAAATTGTATGGGCATCCTTGTGAGAAGACTATAATCTTCGACTTCGTGGTGGTTGGTTATTCGCTTATCAACAATGGTTAAGTAATGGTCATGGATGGTCAAGAGTGAGGCTGACATCAAGATCAAAAGTCCAGCAATGGTCAAGCGGTAGGACCAATCGAAGTAGTTCTTCTGTAGACCAGACTCTCCTTGACTGACAACTTTGTCTTTGCGTCTCCCCACTCTTCCACCGTAGGAAGAGGTATATGGAGAGTCACTGATAGCATACTCTTTCAGTACCCCAGGAGACTTCCAGGGGGATCGGGTATCGCGAATTCGGAGGCCTATCTCTGGCTATTAGTGAATTGGGCTGCCCACTGATGACCAAGACTGACCAGACTGACCAGGAGTGGCCACTACTAACCAGTGCTGACCACTACTGACCAGTGCTGGACCGTGATGACCAACAGTAAGAATTAGTGAGTTGCATGTGATTTTTATTCCCCCGTTCCCCATGTCGTAGGACGAAAGGTCCAAATCGACATGGGTGACTGGTTATATACATAGTATTTTTAGCGAGTATAGTGACCACGGGTATGAATCATACCCGTGACTAGTAACACATGTATATTGTTTTATCTTAGGATATTTTGCTTAAAATTAGAATCTTCTTACACACCGCGATTTTTAAGATGATTCACTTATTTTTAATTTGGTTCTCACTTTCCAAGATTATGTCTCGTCTGAAGGGACCAGAGTTTAATTAATAATCACTCTTAGCTAGGTAATGCAATTATTGATTAAAAACTAAATAATATTAGCAAATTGACTGTGTTCCGCCTTACATAGATCATCATAAATATAGAGCGTCTTCGCGAGGTTAGTTTTGATTCTAATCGATTACAACAAAGTAACAAGTACAAGAAGCCTTCGAGGGTGCAGGGAAAATTGCTCCCATAATTTTTCAAACAGCAGCTTGAATAGAAATTTCAATTTTCTAAATTCGTTTTAATTACGGAAAAAATCGAGATAATAGTCGGATAAGCGGCGAGAAAAGGAAAAGTTTTCCGTCGACGTTCCAATTTGTGGCGCGAAGCAGACTGGTATTAATTACACGACGGGGATAAAGTGAGGAACGGTTCGAAAACAGGAACATAAATTCACCCGATACATGTGTATTTAACATAATAACATTTGTACGGGATATCTAATTTACATAGGAACTTTCGAATTGCACGGTAAACTTGTACACGGACGATCCGACTGATTCGAGCGTCATATATATCAATATTGACTTGCGCAATCATTCGTCTGCGCGTGTCATCGGTAATGTAATTGCAATCGATAATAATTTGACTAATGTCAAAGAGGATGTCCTTTTTCCAGCCAAACTTTTTCGTTAAACTTGACATTTCTATAACGCTATTAAAAAGCACAAAATTACAAAAAAATATAAAATGTTAAAATT